CGGTGCTGCATGTGACTGCTGTGACCCAGGGCTCTCCCCACAGCCAGGGTGCACTTACTGCCGGAGAGTGAAGCAGAGCAGTTTTGGAGACAAGTCCAATGTCAGTGCCTCTGCACCAGGATGATCCCGTCAAATCTCCAGCTGCACTGCCTCCCCCGAACCTGCAGGTGCCTGGCCTGGGTGAGACACCTGGCCTAGCACCTGGCAGCGAGTGGGGCCTTCCCAAGGGGGAGTGGGATGCGACCATTGATTATTGTTTAGCACCACATCCTTGGCGCCTGATACTCAAAAGATATTCTCTCTCTCTCTCTCTCTCTCTCTCTCTCTCTCTCTCTCTCTCTCCTGTTTCCTCCAGGATGTCTGCCTCTGTTAGCACAGGTACAGCCAGAAGAAAGTACTTTAAAACAATGACAGCAAGCATGTTCCTGGGACCCAGGTCTCCGAAGGCCATGGACACATCCGCCCTGACACGCACTGACTGCAATACCCCACTGCACTGGGTGCTGTGTCAGCGGGTTGCTCTCCCGTGCAGTTCAGCGACCGGTGGGAAAATACCATGACTATTACAGCACAACCAGTACGTGCTGAAACCAGGAAAATGGGAGAAAGGTAGAAAAAAGAGGATTCTCCCTGTGAAGCACGCGGTGAAATGAGGACGGGCTATTTCAGCCAGTGATGGTGGTGGTGGTCGGGGCGGAGGAGGAGGAATTTTGAGACCAAAGATGGGAGTGGGATGAAGAACTCACAGGCACGGCAGGAGATGGCGGCACCCCTGGGAACCCTCCAGATGATCTGAGACAGGAGCAGGCTGAAAGCCTAGGTTCCCTGGACTGACAAGTACTGAGTCCTTAATATGATCGGGGCGAGGGTAACGTTTACTAACATGAGAAACAGGACGGGAGGAACCCACAAGAGACAACTGCTGCCTGCCTGCTGTGGACAGTGATGCTGCTGCCCTAGCGCTGAGGGCGCAGCTGGCGGCCTGGGAGAGCGCGGTTGGAGGAGCGAGGAGACCGCTGGGTCCCGGGCCAGCTGCCAGCGCTCTGGCCACCTGCCTGCTGTGTTACCTTGGCCAAATCGCTGCCCTCTTTGGGCCACCTTCCTCATCTGTGAAGGTAGCAGGATGGGAAATGCTGTCCTTAGAATCCACTGTCGCCCTAAGGAATGATGGTCCCTTTCAGTCATGGGGCCGGCGAGATAGTGGGGTCTTCTCAGAGCATTTATTAACTTTTGCTCCCAAAGTCACCACTCAGAGGACTAAGAGGGACAAAAGCAAACTTAAAAGACATTTTGATCAATGACTGGAGAGGCTGACATGTGTGAGAGTTTGGGGAGTTGGGGGGAAGCCTCACCATTATAAATAAAACCCCTTTCTCTTACCCCAAACCTCATTCCGTGGCTGGACACTGTGCTAGAGGTCAGGGCTGCATGGCCTCCTGTGCCTCACTGAGTGAAACTGCAGTCCCAGGCAGGGCCGTGGGTCCGACTGCCTTTCCACAAACAGCCATATTGTCCCTTGGAGGAGCTGGCTGAGGGTGGAGGCTCATCATCTGAGCCTCCCAGGCCCTACGCGTCGCCTCGATCTCGCAGCCATCAACTCTGAGGCTGGAGGTGGGAAGAAACCCCAGATAAAAATAAATGAGGGAAAAGGGACCAGGCAGACAAGGAAGCCAAGACAGTTTGCAGCATCTGGAAAATCTAGATGCCAAGCAGTTTGAGCCACTGGTAAGTCCCATCTTCCCTGAGTCAGGGATGCCAGAGGGTCAATAGCTTAAGTCACCCCACTCAGGGAGACAGATAACAGAAGCCCAATTAATGCCATTTGCCAACCACACCCAAGGACAGATGGAGTTAGGGAATAAATCTCATCTGGGTACATCTGCATAAAACTGATGGGCATTCTATTGAGATCCTCCCCTAAGACCTCCCTAAATGCTCAGCCTATAACACCCCTAAAGTGAAGGTCTAGCTCGCGCTTTCCTCCCAGGAGCATGCCTGCACCCCCAGGCAGCCCCTTCTTCCCTCACAGGCACTTATCTCATAACCCTAAGGGACCCCACGAGGCTTGCAACCAGGGCAGCAGTGGGCAGCCGCAGCTTGTCCCAGGCAAACCCCCCACTCTGTCCCCAAGGCCCCCGTTTCTCTGACTTCCCAGCGAGCCGAAGCAGTGGCCCGGGCTCCTTTCCCATCCGCCCTGTTCCACGTCCCAGCTGTAGTAAACACCCTCTACAATCCGCTGCATCTGTGTATGTGAGGGTGCACTCCTGTAATCTCTCCTTTTAGAATCCATGTTGTTATAAGCCTTGTCCCATCACTTGGGGCAGCCGGCCGCAGCTGCAGAAGCAAGACAAGGTGAATCCCGGCCGCCTGACCCACCCGCGCACTCTCCTCCCTTGGCTGACTGGTGCACCCACCTCCGACCCTACAATTCACACTTCTCCCCTATATAAGGGAGCCCAACCACCCCTGGGGCAACACCACACACTGGGTCTGCCCACTGTAGGGAAGGCAATGAAATCTCTTAAACTCTCACAACGTTGCTTGGCCTGGCTCCTTTAGGTGCAGACCTAACTAACAAGTGTTGTGACATTTCTCCTGCACAACGTCGAGAATCCACACCTGCAGCCAGGAGGCAAGGGCCAGCTCCTTGTGATTCCATGACCCACTTCCCCTCCTGCCCCCTCCTGTCCCCACCTGTCCCCTCCTGCCCTCTCCTGTCCCCGCCTGTCACCCCTGTCCCTGCCTGTCACCCCGTCCCCTCCTGTCTCTGCCTGCCCCCTTCTGTCCCCGCCTGTCCCCTCCTGTCCCTGCCTGTCCCCTCCTGTCCCCTCCTGCCCCAACCTGTCCCCTCCTGTCCCCTCCATGCCCCCTCCTGTCCCCTCCTGTCCCTTCCTTCCCCCTCCTGTCCCCACCTATTCCCGCCTATACCTCCTGTCCCTGCCAGCCCTCACCTGTCCCTTCCTGTCCCCCGTCCCAGCCTGTCCCCACCTGTCCCGCCCGTCCCCTCCTGTCTCCTCCTGCCCCCTCCTGTCCCTTTCTGTCCCTGCCTGTCCCCACCTGTCCCTTCCTGTTCCCGCCGGTCCCCACCTGTCCCCACCTGTCCCTTCCTGTCCTCGCCTGTCCCTGCCCCACTGCAGATCCTCACTGAGCTGGAGACACTTCCTTTCCAACCAGAGGCTCTGGGAGAGTTAGAGCTCCTGGCTCCCAGATAGCCAAGGAGACAGACAAAGGGGTCCTGGCAGGGCTGGTTCGGTTTTCCTTCCTTCTCTATGTGGGCCTAGTTCTGCTCCGTGGCCTCGGCAGGAGCTGAGGCCCACATTGCCTGGCCGGGCAGTGGGGCCTGGTGGAAATCAGCCCGAGTGGCCAGGCATGAGCCCACACTGAGTCCAGAGAGTCTTGAGGAACCGGACAAGCAACGCTCGAGTGTGGGCTAGAGAGCCTGAGGGTGCCCTGGAAGCCCCGTTGCTGGTGCAGCCACAAGAAAGGAGCTGTCCGATCACTGCCTGCTCCTCCAGGACAACGGGGCCGGGTCAGGCCCCAGGCGCTGCCAGCTCCACTCCATCGGTTTCCGCCTCCCACAGGCGACAAATGGAAGTTGATGGTTACACTTGATCAGCTCCTTAGAGGAGGGGGACACCTTGCAGCAAACGCTGAGTAACTGTAAGCATCTTATAAATCACACATCTTAGGGACGTGAACCATTGTGCATTGCTGCTAAGCAAAAGTGAGCTGGGTGTTGGAGTTTCAGTGGAAATGAAGCATGCTCGCAGAGTGGCGAGCCCAGGGCGGTGGGGACACTGAGTCACGTGTCCCAGTGCTGAGTCCCACCCACCGCTGCTGTGGACCTGGGAGCAGGTGCCACCAGGTAACCTGGAGCAGCTGGAAGACCGGCAGCTTGGCCCTGGCCATGCGCCTGCCCTGGCCAGAGGCTTGCCCTGCCTACCTCGGCTTCCCACTGTTCCAACTTCTGAGACCTCAGGGCCGTCCTAGCCCTAACTGGGGGGATTTGGGAGCTTTAAGCCAATTCCCTGGGAATCAGCGTTCTGACATCTTCCTCCTAAATCAGCTTCTAACCCTTTCGGGAGGAAGTTTAGAATCCAGGATCCTGCGTTGCTTACAGTGTTTACTCCCCACCTTCTCCAGGTGTGGATCCGCCTGGACACCCTGCCTGGTGAGTGGGTCCCTCCGGGCTCTTCCCCAGCCCCACCCCTCGGCCCTGCTGTCGGACAGACCTGTGTGACAACAGCCCACCTGCCTGGATGACTCCCCACTGACCTATCCACACTGACCCCTTCCCATATACACACAGATGCCCCCAAACCCTCACCCCCATTTTCCCAGGACATCAGGTCCCAACATGGTGTCTGCTGGGCTGCAATGCCCCCTGTCCCTGCGGCTGGGACTGTGTCCCCGGGACCCAGGTCAATAGTGCCTCCACCTGCAGCTGTGAGCCTCGCTCAGTTCCGGGAGGAGCCGGGGCTTCACAGGTGGTGGAGCTGAGCCCCCTCCCGGGATGGCGTGCGGCTGAGACCGCCCACAGTGAGTGGGACAAGGAGGAGAGTGTGGGACACATCACTGAGACGACCCGGCTCCACCCCAGGAGCAGGCCAAGGAAAGCAGATGCCAAGTCCAGGGCCCACCGCACAGTAAGCCAGGGGCACCCCAAGCTTCCCTGGCCTCTGCCCAAGCACACCCCGAGGAAGCGTTCTTCCATTGACAAGATCATCTCTCTTCTCGGATCTCCCTGCACTTGGAATCCCCAGGGCCATCTCTCCTTCCCCTCAACTAACAGCTGCCCCTTTTGTGGTCACAGGCTGTCATGGAAACTTAGCAGCGTCATTAATCTCATCACAGTGGGCGCCTGCCGGCGGCTCCACCCCCACCACCCAGGCCCAGCCAAACTTGAGGGGACATAGTAGAAGGTCTCCTGTGGACACTTGGGGTGCTGAGAGTGTCACCTGGGCTAGCAAGCCCTGGGGTGCCGGCTGAGCTGCACTTACCAATCCTCAGGGCGTGGGGACTGCAGGCCACCATCACAAGCCACACAGGAAGCAGCACCAGAGGTGCGGAGACTCGGGGCATCTTCTAGGAATCCTCATGGAGCCCGCTGCCGGCCTGGGCATGACATGACTCTGCAAGACAGGGCCAGAGCGGTGAGGCCTGCATCCCTGCCAGAGCTGCCCACTCAGCCCGGTGACCCAGACACCGCCCCACCCACCCAGCCTCTGCTGCAGTGCCCACACGGCTCTGGCCTCTGTCCTCCCTCTACAAGCTCAGGTTCGAATCCTTCCTCCCCAGCAAAGTGGGGCAGGCGGTGCTCTGGGGCCGAATGGTTCACAGGCTCCACTTTTTAAAAAACTCCAGTTGCGGGGGGGTGGGATGGAGACCTTCATCTGCCATGGAGGAGCGACAGGGCTGTGCCCTCGCCCGGCCGCACATGCTGCTCCCTGGGAGGCATGGGAAGGGCCGGTTCAGCCATCCTCGTGCACCCGCTGTGCCTTCATGAGGAGCCTCCTGATCCCTCGGCCAGTCCCCTCACCGGCTCAGCCACCTGTCATGGGAGGTGGAATCGTGGCCTCAGGCAAATAGAAGCTCCCTGCTCCCCTGGCCGCCGGGCTGAGGAGGGCCTGCTCCCATGTCAGCTCCTCCCCAGCCCAATGGGTAGAAGCGCTCCCCCAGGGGTCAGCGGTTTCCACACCTGCTCCTGCCACCTGCCGAAAGCGACCCTCCCCATCCTCCTCCCAAACCCCTCTCCTCCTGCCCAGGGCAGGGGACCTCTGATGTCAAAGCAGCACCTCCAGGGGCTGCCTCGCGGAGGGCAGCAGCGTGTATCCCCCGCTGAATCCTTTCCAACCCTTGAGGCCAGAGTCTGTGGCCGCCAGCTCGGCCCCCTCGTGGGGTAAGGGCGGCTGGTGAGCACCAGGCCCTGCTACTCCTGGGTCGCCCTGGGCTAGGAAAGCAGTATTAACACAGCTCTCCTTCCACCACCCACACCGACACTCCATAGGAGCGTGGGCCAAGACAGGTCAGACTTCCCGAACAGCTATAGCCAAAGGCCGAGCACATTTAAAAAGGCCTCAGCTTCATTGGGCTTCAGGAAAATGCCACTTTAAACCACAACAGGGAACCAGTCCACATGCACCAGCTGCCTCTTTAACAAAACAGGGCCAGATGTCACAGTAGATGGGACCCTCGTGTGGTGTTCCTGGGAGCACACAGTACAGCCATCTCCTGGAGCTGCTCACCCCAGGACCAGCAGCTCCTCCACAGCCCACAGCCCAAGACCAGCAGCTCCTCCACAGCCCACAGCCCACAGCCCAGGACCAGCAGCTCCTCCACAGCCCACAGCCCAGGACCAGCAGCTCCTCCACAGCCCACAGCCCACAGCCCAGGACCAGCAGCTCCTCCCACAGCCCACAGCCCAGGACCAGCAGCTCCTCCCACAGCCCACAGCCCAGCACCAGCAGCTCCTCCCACAACCCACAGCCCAGCACCAGCAGCTCCTCCCACAGCCCACAGCCCAGCACCAGCAGCTCCTCCTACAGCCCACAGCCCACACCCCAGCACCAGCAGCTCCTCCCACAGCCCACAGCCCAGCACCAGAAGCTCCTCCTACAGACCACAAGCCCACACCCGAACACCAGCAGCTCCTTCAACAACAAACAGGCCCAGAACCAGGGGCTCCTCTGTGAGCGCAGGGCCAGAGAACAAGAGATCCGTCCTTAAGCTCGTAGGCTAAACTCCACGGCAAGCTGTACCTTTTAAACCCTAAGCCCAAAACCCGC